CATGGTAGCCTTTCACCTACAATTCCTGCGCAATTGATATTATGATTTCTCGTGTCTCCAGGATACGTCTTCATCTTGTCCTTTGCTTGTGCTCTTGATCTTTAACGTGTCTGTTGCTTTATCACCTGGATTTTAGAGACTTCTCTTTCAGTCTGGTTACATTTCATTCCTCAGCTGCCACGTGTAATGAACGTTATGTACATTCGTGAGCACACACACACACTAATCCCTCTGACATTTACACATGCAGACTATTCCCTCCCGTGCTCTGCTGCCTCTTCCCTGTTTCTGCTGTTCAGTATTTCAAAGGGAGCCCATATGGGATCTGAGCGCCTATTGGGTGACTTCCTCTTGCAGGCTTCAAAGGAGGGAAACCGTGTGGCGCTCTTGCCCAAGAGGAGGCTGCTTCTGCCCAGTTGGGGACCCCCTCTCAGGGGTAGAAGGAGGGAGGAAAATTATGCGGCCACACTACTCGCTACTACTTTGGAAACCAGATGAGGTGAAAAGAGAAAGAGGACAACAGCAGTTTGGATGCAAATATTTTTAGATAAGTGGCAAAGAGCTGATATTTTGTTCAAATATTTATGATCTGAATATATTAGGTTAGACAGAAACTGACCAGGCAAATGGAAATGTTACGGTAAACTTGGCACCTTCCACACTTGAGCTTTAAAGACAGTTCTTGAACAAGACTCATTAGCTAGGAAAAGTAGTGAAATAAAAAAGTAATTAAAATGACAATGACAGACTCTTCTAAGGAAACAATTGTGACACCTTTGAGTGACGAAGAGAAAATGATATTTTGGCTAAAGTACGAGTGGTTTGAGATGTTTTTTTTGTTTCTGGTGATAACTGTATTTGACATTATTAAAGCCAAAGACAGATGTACGTTGAAGAAGGGTGGAAACGTTTAACGTTTAACAGCCACTTTTTAAACTTACTGGAGGTCAACACTTTCTACTAATAGGATATATTTTGGGTTCAGCATCATTTTAGGCTAAGAGCTGAGAAACTTTGCCAACATAAAATCAATGGGCCTTTGAAAAAGTTAGTGTGGTAATGAGATTGTTGCCTGGTATTCTGAATGTCATCTTACAAAAACAGTTAACAGTTGTGGCCAGCAGCTGCCTTAGATCGTGTTCAGACAGATAAAAGCACTGCAAGAGAAAACCAAGCCCCTTTATTGATTCAAATAAA